TTTTGTATATTAACACAATTTGTGCGTTTGTAAAACAATGTGCTTAAAAAAAAATGATATGATCTTAACATTTCCAAAAGCCATTGAAAGTGATGGTAAATCAAATGGATATACAGGGGTACATTTGGACATATCAATAATTTAACAAGTCTGTATGATTAAATGTCTATATTTAGCAACAGTATAATTTTATTTAAAAAACGTGCATTTCACTATTACAGTGCAGTAATTAAAGCTGAAGTTTAACCTGCTTATATTTTGTCTTCCCTGCTGGCCCCTTTCCCCATAAACAAGCTAGGGAAATAATAATTTAAAAAAAACCTCTCGGTTTTCATTACATACCTTATTTTAGACCCAGTGACATCATCACTAGATCGCATTGCATAGAGATATGCAATACAGGCAGATAATGGCTGGTGGGAGGGGTCGGCAGGGTGATATACCTTCCTAAAAACAACAACTTCATGACCAAGCCATTTTTTGTATTACGGCGCTGCATTATTTGTGCGGTCATGCCACGCTGCACCCAAATGAAATTTACATCCATGAATTGAGCTTTCTTTCTATGGTATTTGATTGCCTGTGCGTTTTTTATTTTTTGCGATATAAGAAAAAAGACCGACAATTTTGAGAAATAAACATTATTTTTGACTTTTTGCTATTAAACATGTCCAGTACAAAAATGTAAAAAATCACATTTCGTCATAAATTTAGGCCAAAATGTATTCTGCGACATGTCTTTGCTAAAAAAATGCCAATAAGTGTAAATTAATTGGTTTACGTGAAAGTTATAGCGTTTACAAATGGCGGTAAATATACTGGAATTTTTTTTACTAGTAATGGCAGCGATCAACAACTTATAGCGGGACTGCGGCAGGAATTCTGACACTGGGGGGAACTGACTTGATTTCACTGACATCCCCACTGACACCAATACAGTGATCAGTGCTAAAAAAAAAAAGCACTGACACTGTACTAATGGCACTGGGCAGGAAGGGGTTAACATGAGGGGCAATCAAAGGATTAACTGTATGCTGGGAATGTTTTACTAGGGGCGGTGTGTTGGTGCTTCACTGTAAGCACACTGCTCTGGATGGCTGTGCTGTGCCTGAGGCGGCAGGGAGGAGGACTGTTAGTAAACAAAGCAGCCCTCCTCCCCATCAGAGATCCTTAGTAATCACCAGGCGCCGGCAGGTAATCACCGGCTGGGGACCTGGTGATTGACAGCTGCGGCCGCAAATGGTAGCGTGGGTAGGGCACGCGGCCCGAGCGCACCCCCTACCCAGAAATCCAAAATCACATATATATATATATGTGATTTTGCGCACCCCTGCCGCCCTGTAGCAGTATTTCTGCTATAGGGCAGTGGGGATGTGGTTAAATAAATATTGAATGAAAGGGATTAGCCAGGGACACTAAGGCTGGGGAGGAAAAGGTTAGATGATGTCCTCCAGCCATAAATGAGTGAGCTCTATATTACATGAGACCTGGACAGCTGGACAGAAAGGGTAATTACCCACCAGCAGACGGGAGTGGCGTCCTGAGTCATACCAGAGACATGCTATATGTGAGGAGGGGTGGACACCGCTCTACTGACCCCCAGGAGCTCTAGCTGACCTCAGCTGTCACTCCGGCCACGTCCTCTGATGCATTTCGCCCCGCACATCAGAGCCTTGGTCACAGAGGCTCAGGCCAGCTAAAGCTTACATCACTTTCCATTTGACTCCTGGGGATCGGTAGAGCAGCGCCCACCCATCCTCACATATAGCTCTATATGACTTGCTGCAGCTTCTAATCCATGCTTTAAGAACCTCACATTGTGCATTGAAATCAGAATGAACAATTTCAGTACAAGAGAGGAGCGAGTACAACTCTTCAAGATGCAGGGTATATTCAACCTTAAAGAGTAACTCCACTTACTCTGGTCCCTCTATGTGATCTATGTACATTGCAGGGATTTTAACAAACTTTGCTGCAGATTCCAATCTTCTGCTATTCTGAAGAAATGGCTGTTTGTCTCTGTCCATGTGCAGAGTAAATCTGTATGGGAGAGATTTTATAACTATCAGGCAGCTGCTGCACCTGCAGGGTTCTAATGAGGAAAGTGGCAGGGTCTGCATACCTTTAGGCATGATTTCTCTTCGAGGGTATCTCACCAAACCTGACATTTTTGTTGCAGGGGATGCCAAAAATGTGACTTGTATCTTAGTGCAGACTTCTGGGAAAATCAGTGAGCCAATCACACAAGCGGGAAATCACATTTCTGGGGATGCATCTGTGTACAGAACACCTCCAGGTAGCCATATTGCATTTTACAGAAAATTGCATCTCTGCTGATTGAAAAGGAATGGTAACTTTGTATAACATTCATATACAATATGACTTATAGGAGTTACCCTTTAAGCTCCAAGCATATGACTTTGCCTAGGACTGAATGTGTTCTAGGAGAACAATGTGATCAATATGTTGCAGGCAGGAAGTTATTACCAGTTTTCCCTCCCCTGCAGATCACTTATTCAGATTGTACCATAAAGCTATGCAGTTTGCATTTTTATCAGTTTCTGCAGTGCTTTTTGCGGTGCGATTTGCAGTTTTGCATTTTTTTTTCTTGTTGCTAGGCAGATTAAAATGCAAAATGCAAACATCATCAAAAATACAGCAAAAAAGCACTACATGCTTTTTTGCAGCATCTCCATTGAAGTCTATAGAACCAAAAATACAACTATATGCGTTTAAAAAATTCCCTGTCCCTTTCCAAAAAATGAGCCGAGTGAAAACGCATGTGAATGTGTCAAATAGGAAATAATTTCAAATGGACTGTAGTGCGTTTCTGGAAAACGCTGTGGAAAACGCTTAGGTGTGAACCTAGACTAAGACAAGGAAGGCAGTGTCATAAACACTCCCCTTATAAAGTACATGCATACAAACTCCATGTAGATAGTGTCATCCTTATCCTTAGCTGTGTAACTCTGGTTCGGGAAGATTTGGGAAGAAGACTTCTTCCACAATGGAAGCTTTCAGTGCTTTGTTCTGTATGTGTTATACAGTCAGTTAGCAAGATGTAGTGGAAAGGGTAGAGGGAGACAAAGCACCTTCAAAGTTGTTAGGTGGCAAATACATTGTTTTGTAGCTGCTGGAAATATACGTTTAATTCAATTAGTTGTATGCCTGAAATAAGTTATTTCAACAACTCCTTACTTTTATATAATATCCAGATTTTTAACTCAACTGTTCTACCTAGGAACGTTTTAAAAAATGTTTATAGTATCTTGCATATTTGCTGCTTCAAGCAAGAGAAGGCAATACTACTAATGTCTAAGAAGATTTGAACAGCTTTTCCCCTAGGATTTGAAGTGAGAGCCATGTAAAGTTAATAGCCTTATAAAAGAATTGCTTATTATAGAAGGCTGCAGCAGCATGAACCTACTTAGCTAATGAGTAGCAAGGAAATTCTTTACTTATGGTAGTACTAGATTGGCTGATGTAATTCTGCAAACAACAAGCAGCAAGCCTTCTTCAAGGTAATGTACTGCCAGGACCCATCGCTATGTTTTTTTCTGGATAGGTGGTAATCTAAAGCCAAAATATATTTTTCAGTTTTTGCAACTTAAGTTTATTTGCAGTCTGTGTTTCCACTGGGAAGACTTACTATCTCTATTTAAAAAAAAAAATATTTATAAAATTCAAAATGTTGAGTTGGTACCAGAACAGGAGGCAAAGGGACGTCCTGTGGGGATATTAGTTCTGTCTATTGTACACAAAGTGAAGGGGAATCTCCAAAGTGGTGTTTTAACCATCCCCTAATCTATACAAAATGAAAAAAAAGCTTTGGCTTAAGATATAATGTAACGGTCCATATGTTACCAAATATGTTCCCTTTTTTCTGTAGGAAAGATAAAATTAGCTGTTGGTTGGGAAAAGATGTCCCAACATCTTGGAAAATATTTTAGGAGCTGATTTATAATGTAGAGAGGATATCACTATCCACGCTACATTATACAGTATATCTCAGTGGAGCTACCTGCATTTTGTGTTCAATTAATTACAGGCATGCTGCCTTATTGAGCCTGCAGTACTTTATGGAGTTTATTTGATACATCAGGAAAAAATTCCTTGATGGGAGGTGAGCATGCAACTTTGACTGGGCTCCATGCCTGAGTGTTTTAACACCTTCGCGCCTGCGCCTCCCAGCCCTTTAAGGGTTTCAGAAGCCGGGAGGTGGGGTGGGGTTTAGGGTCATGTGACCGCCATGACGTGCCGTCACGGCGGTCACATGATCGGGAAAGGTCCCGATCGAAGAGGAGATCAGGACCTTTCCGTGAGTACTGGACATGTGTGCTGGGAGCGCGCAGGGCGCGCGCTCTCAGCACATATGTTCTTTTTTAATAGAACGCAAATGTGCGGCTGCTCGGTGTCTAGGCCCAGACGCAGGGAGGCCGCACATTCACATTCGGCGCAAAGAGGTTACATTTTCTTTACAACTTCCATTCAGTTTTATTGTATTCTACCAGCTTGGGACTCCTGAAGACAGCAGAGGACAATGTACCTGCACATCACAGCACCTAATAAATATGCAGCGCTTTTTCTAACAGTGGTATGGCTGCAGGGCCGGTGCTTCCACTAGGCAAACTAAGCTGCCACTTCTGGTGCATTGTCGCCTAGGGGCGCCGCACAGGCTGGTACTCCCTCTGTGTGGGATGCCACCACGTCATGAATGATCCTTCAGCTGAGGGGAGGGGTGGCAGAGTTGAGGAAGAAAGGACAGAGGAAGATGCCGGGTGTTTGAGGCCAGTTTAACAGCTGAGCTTCTGCTCCTCCCGGTGTTTCTCTCATACTCAGTCCCTTACTGGAAGCCGGCTGGCGGCTGCTGATCACTGTGGAGTTCCAGCCCTTTTCTTCCCATTCATTAGCCAAAGAGGAGCTGCGCCTGTGGAGGAAGGTAATGTCTGGATCTGATGTATCGTGTCTGTGTGAGCATGACCTGGCCGGCCATCTATCACATGTGCAATGTGTCAGTGAGTGATAACATCATTACAATCCCACAGCCTGCTCTTCTAGTGCCTGCTGGGCCTGCTGATCTGTGTCAGTGTTGGCGGTGTTGAGTTAGATCTGTTACTGTGTGGGATCTCTCAGTTCAGGTGTTCTCTGTGTGTGTGTGTGGGCTGGGCTGCCTGCTGTCACAGCGTTTTATCTCCCCCCCCCCATTGCCTGGAGAATTCCAGCCTGGGATCTGTCAGTGTGGATCCATCATCCTCCACTCACTGCAACTCTGACCCTGCCACTGCCAGCCACAGATACTGTTCATCCGTGACACTGATTTTGTCTTTACTATTGGTGCTGGTGGCATTTTATGGCACTTATTTTTGCAAATTAAAAGAAATTTAGCAGTTTCATTTTTTGTTGATGTAATATTTTTACTGTTTTACATTTTATTTTATTTTTTTTTTTTTTGGGAGGGGGGGGGGGCGCACTGGTAGCTGGTCTTGCCTAGGGCACAAAATAACCTAGCACTGGCCCTGTATGGGTGTGGTATTGCCACACTGCAGGTTTTTAACTGTACCCCTTTATACAGCGTTTCTCAACCTTTTTAACATGGAGGAACCCTTGCAATACCTTTCTGGTCTCAGGGAACCCCTGCTAATAATTACTATAATTAGAGTTCATGGTACATTAGTGCTATGGTCAAAAGAAATAATGCTATTTACATTTAGGGTCAGTAGGAACCCCACCCCCTAACAACCTCTGGAGGAACCCCAGGGTTCCACGGAACCCTGGTTGAGAAAGACTGCCTTTGTATGATAATGATCATTTACCAAAATTCTACAATGGCTAACTGTCACATGTGATACTTAGGTCATTGATGGTACGTGCTTCTATTGGACTGCATATGGGCATGCCTAAATATATAGATAAGTGAAGTATGTTATCTGGCTCAAATATGTTTGGCTTATAAGACATAAGAGGGCACATAGATATGCAGGTATAATGCTACCTCTTTCCATAAATTGTCATTGGTGTCAGTAGTTATTCATCTGAGAAACAGAAGGTGCTCATTGATCAAGGAACTCTTAGCAACCTCTGGAAGCAAAAGGTTGTCTTAAAATGATAATGATCACCTATAGAAGTTCTACAGTGGCCAACTGTCGCATGGATGCCTAGGTCATTGACGGTGCATGCTTCTGTTGGACTACATTTGGCCATACCCAGATATATAGACAGCTGTAGTATGTTATCTGGCCTTGCTAAAATGTAAAAGGACTACTAATATAAGTTTGGATAGCCATAGACCTAAGAGGACATATAGACATGCAGGTATAATGTGACCTTTTTCCACAATTTGTTTGCTGGCCCTTTGAATAATTGCAAAAAATACATTTTGGCCAAGGATACATTTTGCTGCTTTGCAGAGAGGGAAGAGAAGGAGATCAGTACAAGCAAGCTCTGGCATATTTGGATGAGCATGGGTTTTCTAAGCTATGTGATCAATTGTTCCCCCTGAGAATATTCAGACAGCTGTACCTCTCTGACCCTGAGTCATGAGATCATTGCAAATTCAATCCAAAACCTACCATCTGCCTACTAATGTTTAGGAGTATCATTAATGTATATTATGCTTGAAGAGGCTTGATTTGTGTTTGCCCTCTACTATATAACATCCAGGGCCATATTTTGTTTAATTCTTCTTTCCAATTTATATTCTTCAAAGGTGTGCCTGCTAGTTAAACAATACAGTCTGCAATATAGGTGCAGTAGTTTTCAGATAGTACACCTCATCCCCAGCAGCATGGAGGAAGGTATTGTATTAGTCCCTCCAATTTCCTAAGTGTCTTTGAAGCAGGAGTCAGTTCGGGAAGTGGAAAGTTTAAAGAGAATTGCTTTTATTTAACATGTAATAGGAAGTTTTACACGAGGATTTAGATCGTGTGGCCTAAAGCATTTAGCTTTCCTTCATAAACTTATATAACTGTAAAAATAAAAACATGCATTGCTAAGGGTTTACCTTTATATACCAATTTAACCAATTTTATACATACTCGATTTTTTAGAACATTCGTTCAAACCGTTATTTAGACATTCAGCTTTTGCATTGTGGAGTTACTGTTGAAACACTGAAGATGTAGTGAGAAATGTATTTTGTTTGTTCAAAGGAGAAAATGTACACATTTCATAGCATTTGCTTATTTCACCTAGCATAAACCCACAGACCTTTTCTGGTCTCACTGATTCTTCTAAATGAGCCTAACATAAGCAGATCTTTCATCAGATGTGACTAAAGCCAGATTAGGAGCAAATGGACCCTATGCAGGCAGGTTGCTTTGGACCCCTGTAAGCCATGTACCGGGGTGGGCTCCCCAGGATACAGTGAAGTCACGAACGAGGAAAGCAACCCCAACACCAGCTTTTGCCACAACAGAATTTTACTTAGATGTGGCAAATAAACACAACCACAAATGCTGAGAACATACAATAAATTTACATACACCCAGCCCAAAGGCTGAGACCATTGTGCTGCACAGCACGGCGCCTCCTGATGGATGAAGGTAGGTGTAGTAATTTACCTACTGGCGGGTACAACTAAGCTGCCACACCTTACCCGTTATTACCCTAATACAGCAGGAATCAGTGTATGGGTGTATGGTATGGGCTAGCCTGCGGTGCAGCACAACAGCTTACAATCTTACACCAATCTACAGTATTCCCCCTCCCATGACTGGTCCTGTAGCACGTGCCTGAGTATTCCTTCTGAGCAAAACGCCAGTCTGGCTTGAGTTTGTGGGATGTTATCAGCTCTCCAATGTGAAATGTCACTTTAAGTTGTGGAGTGCTTCCAATGATCAGTAATAACACTTGTGGCCTGACACAAACAGAGACCCTAACTAACTAACTATAGGCCTGGACTCAGTCTCGAGGCGCCAACACTGAAATGAGGTGCGCGCACGATCTTACTGACCCGGGTCTGCTTTACATCCGCTGGTGACTCTGAGCAGAACAAATGTCTCTCCAACAAGCATGCGGTCTCGCCGTATATGTTGCTTAGTTCCTCTGCTCTCATCAGCATTCCTGGCAGCAATCTCATCAGCTTCCTGGCAGCAATCTCATCAGCTTCAGTTAGCTGCAGCTCTGGTTACAGAGGGATACTTTCACACCTGGATGTCATCAGATTCTCAGCTCACACGGCCCCTGCATTCACCATCCTCTAAACATGGCTGCTCTCTCTCCTCTTCCTGTTCCCTCAACTCTGTGTGAAAACTCCACCTTTTCATGAATATAGAAATATCTATGCAGTCTGAGGTTGTGTTAGAAAAACAGTGGCATCTTGTGGCTAAACTGCAGAATGTCAGTCAAAACATTTAATTTACTCCACACAAGCAGTATTCAAACAATGAGAGCTGTTTCCCCATCTCACACCCCTCTGCTCTCCTTATTGTCGAGATTGAAGAACACTTCACTGGACAAAATCATAGAACTGTGAACAGAGCCATAAAAGCTCCAAAAACTCTTTTTCTATGTGCAAAATATCTTAAATTGTTAGTTCTCGAACCAAAAAACTACCAACACACAGGTAAGGGGTGCCTGTAAATAATAACAAACTGTGCTGTTTTGACCAAAGTTAAATAATTTCCTTTCTTTTAGGTGTGGGGCATTTGCGTACCTCCCAAAGCCTGTCTGAAAACTCCCAGAGATGGCTTCAACTTGTCCTGCCTTGTTGCTAGGACATTGCAAGGATACTCTAAGCTATTTAGACCTTGTCGCAGTAGCTCTGAGCTCAGTGATGTGCAATGGAGGAGATAGTGGACCACACATGTGGGTTTGAGAGCTCACTCCTTTGATGATGAGTGATGATGGCTGGCAGTGTCCTAGCATTGTCTTAGCTACAAGGCAGGGCAGGATGATGCCATTTATATGAGTTTTTGGCCAGGCTAGGCAAGGGCATTATATAACTAGTCAAATCTGCACAGTTTCTTTCATCTACAGGCACCCACATAGGCAGTTTTTTTTGCTCACAGGAGATGCACAGGTGTTCTATGCATCCACGTGCAGGTAGTCCTGTTCATGTCTTTTCATGTACGTACACAGTTGCTGGCCCAATTTGACAGCCATGTGAGTGCACACTGTCTTTGCTTGGGGACATGCACCCACACTGAGTCCATGTCTCAGTAGACATGAAAAAGAGTGCCTGCATGCAGACGTACACAACACCTGTGCACCCCGTGCAGACTGCTCTTCACACGGGTGTATGGATAGGTGTGCCCATCTATGTGAATGAGACTTAAATGCTGCTTCATACCTGTGGAGTGCATTAATGCACACATATTAATGTGTATTAGGTTGCACGTTACCATGTGTTACATCATGGCAACCCATTAATTTTGAATAGACTGCCCATGTACCCCAGCATACAGGAAATCACACCTGACCCTTTATTGGTTGTGCACTACGGCATATTGAGACATGCTGCAACACAGGTACATTGCTTTAGTGTGCTGGGGTGCCTTCAAATAAAATAGCATAATAGTGCATTACTGTATGCATTACTATTGCAACGTACTGCAACAAGAAAGTGTGCACTCAAACTCAAGAACTGTTGAAAATCTGGCATGATACTGACAGTGGCATAAATGTGGCACTATAAATATTTATTCTTTTCCATAAAGGAGTAAAGCATCAGGACCTGATTTATAATAGACATACACATAGCTATTGTGATTGATCTATGTACAAGCAATCACAAACAATTGATTCACCATTGATTAATATATCAAATGACTCAATACGCACAGTATTGATTTGTGCTTTGCAATCAACAGAAAATATCAATCAAAATTTGAACCAGTCATAAATGTAGGTGATTGAATAGAAACAATCAATAACAGTCACTGATTCATACTATGATTGGTGTTTTTGTTTGAGTGGTCTTATGTGATTGACAAAATTCTACCACAGCTAATGCACGCATTGGAGTCTAACCCTATCAAGAGCTCAAATGTAGGGTGTCTGATGTTACATTTTCTTTTATTTGGTCATATTTGTTGTATTGAATGGTTGACTAAATGATTGTATGCACACGATATGTGTGTGACTGCCATTGGGGAGATTTTCCAAGAAGCTGGAAAACCTTCCTTTGGAATTTCCTAATGAATGGCTCCACCTGTTTGGAGCATCCCTTTTTGCAAATTCTAATTTATTTAGGAAATTGTTAACTAGTTTGTTTAACTGCAATTACCCAGAAGCATAAGAGGATATGCCTTGTCATGACCAAGTTCCTTACTCTAGATGTCTGGTGTATGATGGAATGTGTCAAAAATACAATACCATCTTATTATTATTTAGGAGCTATTATTTCTTGTTAGATCAT